AGAGAGCTACACTCGCTAGCTGGCCTTCAATTACCCAAACAAAAAATTGAGGGCTCACGCAGACAGATGCACATCAGAAACTGAGAACCCTCCTACATTCAAGATGGGAGCATTCATGCTCCAGTTGGATATGTTTTTAAAGTCATTGCCTGGACATATTTCCAAACAGGCCATTCACACGCAAACACCTGAAGACTTTGTGAAAGTGCTCCAGAGGGTCAACGCCAGGCAACAGCGCGATCTAGCCATCCAAAGGGCTAGAAACGCAGAGCTTCTGGAAAATAATCACACGACCACCCACAAAATGAAGTAGGCTAGGCAACACGCACCTGTTATTTGTTGATGACCACCTGGGCGAAGTATGCAGAGTCTGCAGATGTGTCCATTGTTGGCAGAAGTTGACAGGTTTCCCAGAGTACACTGCTCCATGACAGCCAGTTGCCCAAGAATCTGTTGCTTGCCAGATTGCCGATCAAAGTGGTGTTTTGTCTTGCAAAAGAAGTCAAAAGTCAAAAGCACTAAAACAAGTTGATTTCAATGAATGGAAATTATGTTCAAGATTCATGCAATGCCAGAAGTCGGACATGGACTTTTGGAAGACAGAGCCGGCGCAAGTAGAGGCAAAGAGACTGCCGGTGAAGGGAAGATCTGCCTGCCACCGCTGAAACTGCAGACGTGCCAGGTTTGAAAAGGCCAAGTGCCACGAGTTTTCTGCACAGTTGCGTGCGGAGGGGGAGGGGAAGGCGACGTTGCGCGCATCCAGCAGTCAATTTGCTGGTGGAATCAGCAGGCGCGCAACAAGATCCAGACCTTGCGGCCCCCTCTGCAGAAGCCACTCAGACTTCTTGAATCTGCCGGACGACACCTGGCTGTTGAGGCAGCATGGACCCCGGGTACAGTAGCTTCATCCACCACATCGCTCGACCCTAACGGCGGATACGCATCATTTAAGGTTCACGGGGGTGACCTTCACATCTGGCGAAAGAGGTTTTTTGTCTGGAGGGATTGCGCTTTTGGTCAATGTCTTTAACATCATAGCCTTGCACAGCTAGCGGCGAGTGTGTGAAGACATGAAAGAGCATAGATGCCAAGCGTCAACAGTGAGTCTCATGCTTCCAAGTAATCCGTGCTGTAAGAGTATGAGTGCACGATTGAAGATGTTCAAAGTCTTGCTTCGCGACACCTGCTGCGAAATCATAGCGCGCCGAAGACCACCGCCATGTCCAAAGTGCTGCAACTGCCACGCAATCTGCACATCGAAGTAAAGCCACTCCGATCCCCTGCGCCTGCCACGAAAGTTGACATTGGACCACCAAAACACGAGGCTTTTCTTGCGCGTGCCATGAAAAGTGACCACCAAGTCCGAAAATGCGTGCGGCGCCACAACGAGAGCGCAGTCGAGGAAAGCACCCACTCGGGCCCAGCAGTTTCTGCGAGCCTGCGCAGTCGAAATGCACTTCGAACATCTTGAGGTGAATGAATGCACCACCGATCAGACACCTGGCCTTAACCACATGTGCCCACTCTGTTCGGGGAAAAACATCCACCAAGTATTTTCGACTGGATTGTGGAATCCAAACATAGGTATGTTGCTAAGAGCATTCGTTTCGCCCAAACGAGGGCCTCGTTCTCTCCGATCCCGGCCTTGTGGTCCGATGCTCAAAACCTGGAGAAGGGGCTTCTTGAGCGCATCAAAGACAATATGTGTTCACCTTCAAGCATTCTTGTTTTGGATGTTCAATGTTCTAGTCTTCCATGTTCAGAAGAACAGATTTCTATCTAAATAGACTTCGGTTAAAGCACTGTCTCACTCTTTCAACAACCCGTCACTGTACGTCATGACAGTTCGACTGGAGTGTTTTGGCGTCTCCGTGCCTCCATGACCATGACCCTGGTGGATGGAAGCGGAGCTGCCAAGAGCTGTCGTTTGCGAGTTCCCCGCCCCGAAAAAATGTTCAAAAAGGAGGAGCTCAGAATTGCTCAGAAACACAATCCTACCAAATTCTGTACCCTTGGTTGTTGGAGATGTTCTTGTGATGTGCGCCATAAGACAAACCAAAATACATCAAAATACTATAGATAAACCACAAGATGTCGGGAGAATATGCAGTAGCTGCCTGAGTCCTTGAGCCAAAGACAACACCAAATAGAACAACAAGTACTGTTCCTATAATTCTTCATAGCATGTGTTAGAAACATTTCGACAAAAAGCAAGTACAAATCATGAGATGCGGTCGCTTCTCTACATGTTGCTCCTCTCCATATTGCCTCACCGCATGTGCGTATTGTGGAACCGCTGAGCTTTGTCAGGCACTGCAAACTGCCCAAGTGCTTAGGCATTCAACTTATCTGTTGATGTCAAGAATTTGCTTGAGAGCACTCCCAGCACTTCGGATTTCCTCCATGTTTCTGGTTCCCTGCCATCGACATGAGCCAATTCGTTTAAAGCAGCTTCCACGAAGGGCTTCAAGCGGCGCTACAAGCATGATGGTCAACAGGGAAGGACTCTCCTCAGATCATGAAATATGCAATGGGGAACAACAGTCGTGGGACTTAGACAGACATGTCAATTGTCAAGGTGGCTACATCAATGCCTTTCAACTGGTTCCACTGTGATAGTTGTTACTTGCATCTGGCGAAAAGGAATTCTGCTGGGTCCTACCTGTGTTTAGGGAAATCTGCTGGGTGGGCTGTGTGGGTCAGTCGTACAAAGGATAGATTTGTGGCACCATATGCTGGTGCTGTTTGAGCACACTGATGGTGTGAGCACACTGATGGCCGTGGACCACACGGAAAGCCACACATGTGGCAGTAGCAAATGAAAATGCAGATGCACTAGGGCCCCAGATGGCGGGATGCTGCCGCACATGGCAGGAAGCGAAAAAACGGCGCACCTGAGACACCTGACACGTCGGCGTCAGTACTACGTCACCCGGGTGGCGTGGTGCGCGGACAGGTGACATGGCCGGCACATCTTCCTCCACAGTTCTGCGAAGCCAAACACGGACACTTGGAGGACTTAAGCTCAACAGCTCAACAGCTCAAACTGCTCGATTTGTTTCTTGTTTTGATTAAAGAAACGTATGAGTATGGATCCTAAGAAAGAACAAAGAAGAACTCAGGTAGCTGAAGCTACCTTTTCGTGACATGGACTTCAAAAGAACCCTTGGCCAGCAAAATCGGCTCCTGTTCGCAAGGAGGATGCTGCTTGGCTTTATAGTCTGTTGAGCAATGCCCTTCACAGCTGCATGGTTCATGGCAAACACCGTTGCTTCTGGCATTCCAAAGCGCAAAAGGTCCATAAACGCTGGTTCTGTCGTAGCTTTCCATTAAGCTCAATGATCCTTGAGCCAGTGGCCAACAGCAACTGGGTCGGACTCCAAGGCGTATGCCCCTCAGCTCCAAGGCGTATGCCACGATCTGCTTGGTCCTCGAGCTTCGCGCAGAGGCGTTGCTCCCCTCACGCCGGGAGATCGGCACAATCGAACCTGTGACGTTCGTGGAGAAGCAGTGCCTACGAGTGCGGAGTCCTGAATTTCACGGGTCACACTCAAAGAGCTCCGGTCATCCCCATAGACGATGAAGTTTCTTCACAGAAAATCAGCACTCCTGTGAGTGTTTGACCAAAGTGGGGCAATGCAAAAGCAAAGGACACCAGATCGCTCTGTCTCGGAGATGGTTTTGCTGGCTTGGCTTGACCAGAGCGGCGAGGCGGGTGGTCTCCCCACCCGGCCCGCCGGACTACAGCGCGCTCTCACAGCTCGGACTCCAAGACTGCGAGTCGGACACCAACGAGAGAAAAAGTCATGTCCTACTGCTCCGAGAAAACGGTCAACTCCTTGAGAAAACTTCTCATCTTGGACCCCTCACCCCCTTTTGGTCGGACGCCAAAAAAGCAGCTGCAGCAAATAGGCTGGAAGGAAGATGCCTATGTATGTTCCTGCGGTTGCGGGGACTTGCTAGCCATTTTATAGATATAAAATGTTCAGGAGGGACCCGGTAGATTGTATACTTTGGTGGGGGGACGTACCCTGGCACTTATATGGAATGGCTGGCTTGTGAAAGCAGATATCTGATGTGTTTCTTGTTTTGATTAAAGAAACGTATGAGTATGGATCCTAAGAAAGAACAAAGAAGAACTCAGGTAGCTGAAGCTACCTTTTCGTGACATGGACTTCAAAAGAACCCTTGGCCAGCAAAATCGGCTCCTGTTCGCAAGGAGGATGCTGCTTGGCTCTAATATGCCTTGAGTAATGCCCTTCACAGCTGCATGGTTCATGGCAAACACAGTTGCTTCTGGCATTCCAAAGCGCAAAAGGTCCATAAACGCTGGTTCTGTCGTAGCTTTCCACCACCACTCACGCTTTCGGACCGGGAAAGACATGAACGCGCGGGGGTCGACCTGAAATGAAGCAGACGGTTTTCTGATTGCTTCCCAAAAGTGACAAGACATCTCTGAAATCCCGTTTCTTTTTCTATAAAATCAAGACCTAACCTCCCCGCTCACGAGGGGTGCATCAAACGCTTTCTAAAGTACCATAAACGTGTTCTTCCCAATTTTATAGAATCCTGCAGGGCCATGAAGGAAGGGTCATGGCCTGGAAATGAGGTCTTGGACCAGTAGCGATGTCAAAGGGGCCTAACGAGGACATCACCGACCTGGGTATGATTTTGGAGCACAAGACATGGGTCAGTGGGCTTATCTTTGCTGGTGGCGTTGCCTTGCGAAAGGGCTGCATTTTGTATAAATCCACTTGCTGCATAAGTTGTTCTTCCAGACAAAAGCTCGTGTAACTCCTGTGGCAGCTGCGCTAGCTTTTCATGATGACACTCATGTTCTGGCAGGAGAAACCCACAGTTTTCAGATCCTGGCATCGATTTAAAGGATTACCCATTTTAATAATGCCACGAAACAGAACAAACACAAACACTGTCGCCGGCCTTGGTAATTCTATATGCACGAGCTATCTTCACGATTCTAAGTAATTCTAAGTGACATCTCATACGCAAGAAGCCAGGCATGTTTCCAACAAGCTGAGCGTGCTCAAGACAAGTGTCCATTCCAAATGATGCTTTGACTGGCGCGCTGCACCCAAGAATGACAGAGCAAGCCTGCTGCTCTGTCCATCACACCCTCGGTCAACCGACGGATCCACCGCTTGCAAAGAACCTGCTCTGTCCATCCCGTCAACGGATTCACCGCGTACCCGAACGGGCAGGGCCTGTAAGACAGGCTCATGGCTTGTTAGAAGCGCAGTGCTGTCCACGGTGGTCGTAGATGTCAGCGTTCGACGCGACCGGACGCGCGCCAACCCCGCGGGACAGGTGGTCGTGGGGTTTTTAGCACCGACCAAACGGGGTTCCTGGCTTGAAGGACGCGCAACTCGCGGAATCAAAGCAAGGTTCATGGAAAGTTCTGGTGCATGACCATGATGTTGGCACGAAAACTGGGCCTCGAGCTAGAGAATGTTTATCCGGGTTTGGTCACATTGACTTCAAGAGAACACTTGGCCAGCGAAATCAGCTCCTGCACCATGGAAGTGTTGTATACTGCTTGGCTTCAGAATCTGCCTTTCGCAGCTGCACAAAAAAGGACGCTGGCGAACACTGTTGGTATTTTGGGTATGGCTCAAAAAGAGGGTCCCATCCAAAGCCACGGGTAAAAGGACAATTTGGCGACCACTTGCGGGCTCCAGGGCGGCATTTTTGGATTCGGCTAACGGAGGAGCGTCTGTTTTCGGCATGGCAGCGCATTCGGCTACGCCATGGCATGGCCAAAAGCAAGCTTTCGGATACTCCTCAGACCGTTCGATTTCAAGGACGCTACGAACGTTTGGGGCTCCTGGCCTTACGAACAGAGCAAGCGGAGCGTTCGGACGCCTCCTTTTTCGGCTTCCTGTCATTCGAACAGAAGTCGGTGGCATCTTCGCCGGCCTTCCGGGCCTTGGAGGTAAAGTCGCTAACGCGTCGTCTGCTTCTTCTCTCATCTCTGCAGAGGAAAAACCCCTGGAACTAACGGAGTGGAAAACCCTCGGTTTGTAGAGGAAAATGGTCTTGAAAAAGGGCCAACCTACGCATGTTGGTTCGGAGTGTGTCCCAGTTCTCTTGTTGATCTTCCATGCCAAACAGCAGACACCATGCACTTGGAACACAAACCGGAGAAAACCACATCGCAGCTGCCCTTGGCCATGGGAATTGCATTGAACCTTTTTGTAAAACCAATGCCTTCATGTTCTGCTCAGGCAAGTCTAGATCGGTCTAGTCCGTGGCCTTCAGATCCGTGGATTCGTCAGTCAGCAGGCTCCCAGCACCAGATGATTCCATCGGCTTGCTGTTGAATGAGAAGGGAGATGATCATTTCACACAACACGCAACCTTGGAGAGCCAAACACGCAACCTGCGCGTGGCGTGGCCCATCGTGGGATCAGAAGACTCGGCGATCGCGAGATCCGAGAGAATCCGGTCAAGGACAAGGGATCGGGCGATCTGTCTGCCGCATCGGTCCGGGATCGGATTTACATGGCACCCTTCTCTGACTGGTGCGTCTCGCAGGGAATGAGGGTGGCTGGATCCAATAGAATCTCCCTATTCCCTACTAAGCACCAGTCAGCTCTTGGCTTCAAGCAGTACCTGAATTATTGGACACTGCAATGGTTGAGCTTGAAACAAAGTTGGGCGTCAGGCCAACCACACTTTGTTTGTCGCTTCTCTTCAGATGTTGCCTTCGGCCTGATGTGGCAATCGGTCTTGAGAAATGGCCTTCACAAGCTGCCATTGAAGGTCCCCGAGAACAACGGATTTGTCTCTGTCTCGGCATCCAGGTTCTCATGTTTATTGGCGATATTGCGCCCTTCTTGGGTTCAAGCAGTACCTGAATTATTGGACACTGCAAAGGTTGAGGGCGTCAGGCCAAGCTGGGCCAGCAAATGTCGCTTCTCTTTAGATGTTGCCTTCTGCCTGATGTGGCAATCTGTCTTGAGGAATGGCCTTCACAAGCTCCCGAAAGCTCAAGTAAGGAAAGCCGCTTGACAAAAGAAGAGAATCTACTGTACTGGCTAGCGTCCTAGGTGAGCTCAATGTCAATGGGAGCAGAAATCTCATGTGGGCCTGAACAATAGTCAGCTAGAGGTTGATTGGACCATATATAATGCTTAAAAGGTCAAATGGGACATCGGATTTGCTGGGAGCAACGTGTGCTCTTTGAAGCAAAATCTGGTGCAAATCATGGTGCGGGGTGGGTAGGCGCAGAAACCTTCATTTTTTTGTTGCGCAGGTGGATTGAGCAGGGCATCCAAAGGCTCAAAGATGTTGAGGCGATTTGACGTGATTCTGGTGCACATGTGACCAGTGCACAACGGTCCGAAACAGACTGCAATCGAGGGGCGCTATGGGAGTGAAGGACTGTTCTCTGCATTGTGACACAACTGATGGTTTTCAATTGAAACTAACCCATGAAATAACATGTGACTGCATGACGACAACCCAGATGTTGAATGGCGTGACAATCTACAGTACAGAAAAGGGTGTAGCCTGAGCCTTGCTCTGCTCTTGTTTGATCTCTACCCTGATCAACGTTGCAGTAGCTGCGGCAAGCTGAAAAGGGCTCAGAACGCCAGTGCATGTTGCGTGATCAGGTGAGGGATCATCCGAAGAGCCCAAGGCACCAGGAGCACAAGGCATTGCACCGATAGGAGCCATGAAGGTCCCCAAGGACAACGGATCTGTCACTGTCTCAACATCCACCTGTATGCGATGAGATTCTCATGTTTGTTTTGTGCGTATGTAGATCTTGAGGATCAATGGAAGGGTTCAGGAAGAAAATGATACCTCCGCTTCATAGCAAACAACTGGGTCATTCCCATGGAGACAGTTTTAGCTTTGCTGAATGCTCTGACCTCAACTGGAGAAGACTCAAATCCTCGCTTCATGTTCTAGCTGACCCCAAAGGCTCGTGAGGAATGTTCCTGCACTTCTCGTAGAAAATTCACCTGGAAGCTGCGTTTCTGGTGATTTTTGGCGGGTGGTGTTCATGTGACAGCCATTGTATATGCTGCATCCTGCTTCTGACCTTTTTGCCGCTGTAAAGCTCATAGAGCTTCAAATCGTCGACTTCGTTGAAAGGGGCTGGTCCAAAAAAGACCAAGGTCCATGACGACAGGATCCTGGGATTGCTTGACGAAGGGTTTGAAGTCCTACGGCTTCCTTTGGTCTCGGTGTTTCTTTTTGCGGTTGTCTCTTTTTTACCAAGAGTGTGTGTGTGTGTGTGCAAATAATGGCAGATATGTGTTCAGGGATCTTAATTAGAACATATTGGAACAGTTGACACATCAAATCACCGTTGACATGTGCATGTGAAAACCTGGAAACCTCAATCCGAACTCCCCCGGGACGTTCGGCAGCGCATATCCGATGTGAACCGAAGGCGGACACTCATCCGACCCCACGTGGGGGGTGAGCTGTAGAAAGAGACCACAGGCGGTACCAGTCAGTGGACCGAAGTCAGTGGTCCCGAAGTGGACCGAAGTCAAGCGGAGATCGGAGCGAGCGGAGCATCCGTTTCGCAGCAAAAAGTGCACTCTCCGGTTGCAAGGGCCTCAGCCTCCAGAGCCCCAGAGATTTTACTGTGGCCCAGCTTTTCAAGTTGGCGTGGTTGTAGCACCGTGATTTCTTGGCGATTTGTAGAGGTCAAGAAGCAAGGGGCCAAAACGCGCGGAAATTGGCGCGTGTGACTCACAAGCAACAAGCAGCAGCTGAGTTGGCATCTCTCGTGTGCCGAAGCCAGACACAGCCGACCATCGAGGCCCAAGGAGCAAAAAAAGGCTGTGCTGCTGCCGTGCTGCGCAGCCGAGGGAGTTGGTGCCTCACGTCATTTGCACATGGCCTTGTACCTGAGGGAATTTGCACCAGCCAGAAAAGCCCCTAAAAAAGCTGGCAGCACTGGCGTCTACATGTGAGAAACATTCAAAAACCTGCCACATTTAGTTACAGCAAGAGGCAAGAGCATTCCGTGAACATGGGCCTATTGGTGGTTTCCACCTGGAAATCAAGGGCTTTTACGAATCTCTCATGATGTCCTGCGGAGGCGGATTGTAAACCGGCCCTAGGGCCACATCTCTCGTACCGTCTTCGGAGCATACCCAATTTAGAAGAAACGAGTATGCTGCCCACTGGTGTCTGTAAGCAATCCGTAGGACTGAGCAAAGATCTTAGGGCTTTGCTGCTGGGCCGAGTGAACACAAGACTGGCCTTCTGCCCGTTTAG